GATGGGGATGGGGATGGGGATGGGGATGGGGATGGGGATGGGGATGTATCGGCCAGTGCCTTGCTGGATGGCCATGGGGGTGAGGATGGGGATGGGGGTGAGGATGGGCATGTTCTGCTCCAAAGTGAACTTTTGGAGACGTGGGGCAAAGGAGAGGCGGTACCTTCCACCTGGGTGAGGTGCTGTGCCTGCTAATGCCGTTTCATAGAATGATTTAGGTTGGAAGGGATATTAAAAATCATCTAGTTCTAACCCCTCTGCTGTGAGCAGGGACACCTCCCACCAGACCAGGTTGCCCATCCAACCTGGCCTCGGACACTTTCCAGGGATGAGGCATCCACAGCTTCTCTGGGCAACCTGTTCCAGTGCCTCACTAGCCCCATAGTGGAAAATTTCTTCCCAATACCTCAACTCCTTCCATGCCCGCTCACAAATGAGGGACAGCCAACCCAAAAACCTCATTTCCCGTGGCCGCTGATGAAAAATAAAGTCAGAGAGAGAGGCAAAGAGTTTTGAAAGTTGAGGACAAATGCAAGAGCCTTTTCTTGAGCGTTTCTCAGCTCTCCACCAAGGCGGTTGCTCCTGGCAGAGGGGAAAAAAAAAATAAAAACTGATTGATTTACTGTGATTTCTGCCTGGAGCATCGGCTGATGTGGATTTGTGGCCTTTTAATGATTACAACCACTTGCAAGTTAGACTGGTTGGTTGGTTTACTGGCCTGGAGTCGCTTAAATCAGGCTGGGTCTGATTAGCGTACCTAAATATCTTCGGGTTTGGGGGTAGAGTGTGGGTTTTTTGGGGGGTTTCCCTCTCCCCCTTGCAACTAAAGCTCTGCCGTGGAAAAGGAAGCGAGGAAAAGCTCGGGGACCTAAAGAGGGGATTTTTCACCTCAATTTTCTCCCTGTGCCGGCAGGGGTCCCCGCTGCTCCACGGCGCGGGGGGGAGGCGGGGCCAGGGGGCGGTCCCGGTCACCTGCAGCTGAGCTTCCTCCTCCCCCGCTATAAGGCTCGGCGCCGCCCGCCGGGCAGCGGGGCT